GAACACCTTTATAATGAGTGTCCTGATCAAATGAACACATTATATGTTTCCTGCTTATAGCAAACCCAACATATTAGTATTATGAGCTTCATTATAGTGAACACTTTACTATAACAAACTAATTGTACGTCTCTCAAAGAGTTTCTTATAATAGAGATTACAGTGAATGGATCAACTGTATATAATAGCAAAATATGAAGCGAACCTAAATGCGGCCTTAATTTATAGTTGTGTATATTCTAAACTGTATTCGAAATAATATTGCAGTGGTTTAATTTTGTTTTAATTATAACTGTAGCTTGGATAGGCATTTGAAGTGCTTGCAATTTAACACCATGGAGTCCATTCATGGAGGGGAATAAATAACGAACGAACATATTTAACATTCGGGTACTTTTCAAAGCTATGACGTTTTAGTATCTGATCGCATTCGTATACGCCATTGTACATAGCCGTTCATGTTGCCAAGCATTGTGTACTACTAGTATAAACTCAACTTTTATATGCACAATGTGCTTTTTAAAACTTGGGTTAGAGACTTATGCGTTTGAACCACAGTATTCTGAGAGTGAAAGCCCAATTGCGTACTTCCCCGATCGTAAGCCCCTCCTGAGTATGAAGCCCATCTCTATATTTTTACTTGGTACATGTTGGTATTTATCGAGTTGAGAGCATTCACGATTATAAGCCCAGAGTGTTTTTACTGGGCGTCGACGATATTCTTTAAAATATGCGTGTGAAAGATGTGTTTCATTTCATAATAATCGTGATTGGCATGGTAGTTTGGTTCATGCTTTTAGTTTTATGAGAAAACTCGCATTAATTTCAGAGTGCATGGCGAACGTACACAACATGGTTCGCATCCTTTCTATTCTGTCATTTACTCAGGATGAACCCCGATGTTGCAATTCTGGAGTAATCCATATTTCTTTGAGTAGTAGCTTTCGAAAAGCCAAAATTGTGATCGTTAAGTCGTGTACCTGGTTATTGGGCATGGTTTATTTTGAGACTATCATGAAAGGCCTAGGGTTTGAACGATGAGACATGTTGGCGACCGAGAAAGGTGTTTAAATTCTTCCTCCACACTCAGTTTACCCACGGCTACTGTTAACCGTCATTTATATTTCGGAAATTACGAATCGCCAGTTTTTAGGGAAAAAATCATCGTTTTTTCGTTGCAACCAGTGCTACAGATCACATTTTAACATTGCGGTAATTCACTTCCGTGTTGCGTTAAAAAATCATCGTCAATAATCGGAAAATTTCATCATTATGACACATCATTTTGATTGGTTAATGAAAGACATGACCTGTTATGTTAAAGGAAGTTGTTCCAGGTCAAATCGTGCTGAAAAACCTCATGGTGGAAAATTGCTTTACGTCGAGAGTTCGCGTACGATCGAAAACATATCAAAATGAAGATAATGAGAAATGCCTTCGTCCACTGTTTCTTCATCGACCCTATCCATTGTTACACCGTAAATTCAGACGGTATGTAAATCGTATTGTAATAAAATGTGTGTTTTTTTATGAACATGTTTATTTTCATTGTAAGTGTCGTTCAAATCAATGACGCATTTTTTTTTCAAAAATAAGTATTATTTTCCCGAGCCCGGCGTGGTGAACAAATAATTTTTTTGGATAATTTTTCGTTGTTTGCAAGATGGTTACAGTGTTTAACCCCAAAACAAAATCATTTTTTCTGAGTTGGTCCTCGAGTATAAGTTCATCCCTTACTTTTCCCTTACATGCTTATGCCTCCGGGCTTATGATCAGGGAAGTACGGTATACTGTGAAG